GCTGGGCCTGGCGGCCCTAAGAGCCTACCCAGGCATGCTGTATCTCGTCGGGCTGGGCTTGGGAGATGCCAAGGACATCACGGTGAAGGGGTTGGAGGCAGTGAGGCGGTGCCGCAGGGTGTACCTGGAGGCCTACACGTCCATCCTCACGGTGGGCAAGGAAGCACTGGTAGGTCTGGGCGCTGCTGGCGCACCGAGGCCTGAGGCCTCTCCAGCCAAGGGTGAGGAGGGCACTGGGGCCCATAGGTCAGTAACGTCAGCTGGAGAAACGAGTGGTGCGTGTCCTCGAAAAAGTATGTTCATCACCTTCACGTGCTGTATTTTATAGGAGAAATCATTTCACTACCTTGTGAGAAGACTGGGACAAAAATAAATTTTCTTTCCTACAAGTAGTGTTTGTGTTTTGCCACTAGTTTTTATCTCAGATTCTGACAACATGGTAATCCTGAAATGTTGGAGAACTGGGTCAAAAATATCTGATCTGATTTTAAAAAAACTCAACCAAGCAAAAAACTCTAAAAAGCAGACATACCAGAAAAATACATGTTTTGGAGTCTTGAACCTCTCTGTCAGCCTGAAGTGTTATGGTGCCTGCTGGGAGTAATAATTTGAGTGTCTAAGGTTTCCATGTTTCCCTGTGGGCCAGGCTGTCTCACCATGTTGAGGCTTCCAGAACATACACACTTCAGCCAGAAATGGGCTGTTGAATAACATGGAGATAAGCTTTAGGTTAGTAAACATTCCACTTATGGAAGGAGACAGTAGTAAAGATGTACAAATTATAACTCTAATGGGTTCCCTGGTCATGGAAAGATAGAGTTTAATGTTGAAATAATACCAAAAGAGGGCTTACATACACAAAGAAGAGGGATCTCACCTCCAAATAAGCTGTGTAGTACTATACAGAGATGCTGTCTGGGTCTTGGATGCTGTATAGCCATAGTGTACTTGTATGTACATACAGCACATGAAACTTTTAGCTTGTAGTCAGCATTATGTGGTTTCCAGATACAAGTTAGGCTAGAGTATTTTGGGCCATCTCTGGTATATCTGCTGTATTTTGAAATGAAAATATACTCCATGATTTTTTTTTTTTTTTCAATACACTGAAGCAATCTGAATTGAAATTAATCCATTCAAAACAAAACTTTTTTTTTTTTTGGTGGTGCTGGATAGTTTGAAAATTGCAAAATAGAAGTCATTGCTTGGATATTTTTACTTTGCAAAATCTGCATTTGCTATTAAAAATTATGGATTCCTAGCCAGCTGAAAATAAAACATTGACTAACAGAAAAATGCTGAATATTTTTGGCATGGCTATTTTCTGGGGTTTGTTTGTTTTGCTTTTTATTGTTTTTAGTCTGTTGGAAACCTTGAAGTCCCAAAGATGAGGTAATTGGGAAAAATGATCAATAAAACCAAAGTAAAATATGCTGTCTTACCTGAAACTGCCTAAGAGGGAATATAGGAATTAATCACCAAGTGTTGATAATACATCCAGATTACTAAACTAATGTGGAATGGTTTGTTTAGTAATCTGAAAGTCAGTCTCTCCTAAGCAGTATGAAAAGTTACGGGAACAACTACACTATGCTAGTGTTGGTTTTGTGTCTGGTTTGATGTCAGTATTGTAACTAACCTGAACAGTTAGGCTCAGACTTGTGAGAGGGGATGGCTTATAGTAGGATGACTGGTTAACTATATCTAAAGTCCACCCAGGTACCTTCAGTATGCAGGTGTGACTGAGCTACTTTTGGAGCAGCTCCTCAACTGACACGGAAGGCATAGAAAAACAAGTCAGTATCAGAATACCATGCTTGACTAATTTTTCCTCAACTTAGGAGCTGCTTTATGGAAAGCCTGGGTGTTCTTGCAACGGGAGGCAGGGTTCTCCAAGACATGGGCCAAACTGCTGAGGACAATAATAAAGTTGGCCTTTCCAGTGTCCATTGTCTGTGTTCCTGGGTGAGCACCCAGAGAGATACAAAAACACTCCCAAGTGTCTTATTTTCTTATTAATTTTCAATTTCTAGGAAGAGTTTTATGGAAGAGAATTGATTTTGGCTGACCGAGAAACGGTGGAACAGGAAGCAGATAGCATTTTAAAAGAAGCTGATGTTTGTGATGTCGCATTTCTTGTAGTTGGTGATCCTTTTGGGTAAGGCAAAGCAACATTTTAATTATTACTGTAGCTTGATCACTCTTTTTTCAATAGGTAGAAGCCATACTCCATAACTAATTCTTTATGAAGAAGCTGATTTTCAGACCAAAGCACATTTTACGTCTCTCTATATTTTTATTGCATTAAAAATACACATGCAATTCTCTACACTTTATCTTGCTTTGGAGTTTCCTTGCCAAGATATCCCTTACAGATAGGAATGTGGACCTGCCAGGATGTATAAATCTTTCCTTCAGCACTCACTTATTTCATTCTCCATGCTAGATTTTATAAAGAATATTTTGTACCAGGATTTATCTGCTAACAGAAGAAATTCTAGGATATCACACAATTAAGAAGTGTGCTATGTTTTGAGAGAGTATTCTTTTAATTGCGATTTGTACATTTGCAGCTTTTGTGCTCAGGTTTTTTAGAATGAATACTGATTGTTGGTTGTACGGTGCTTCTGCTTTGATATATGCTAGTGTTTAAAATCACTTACATTGTTATAAATGTCTTCTCATTTTGGTTTATTAAGCTTTTTGTTTAAATGAAAAGTATAGTCTTTTTCTATCACCAGAAGGATGTCCTTCTGTCTTTTCAGTCAGGCATCATCAATCTGTAATGTCAAGCCATAAAGAAGAGCTCTTAGTCTCCAGCTGGTGAATCAAGATTTATACCACAGTGTTAAGGGGCACAAGAAAATCAAATCACTGAGCACCCTATTTGTGAGTGAAAAAATAGAGTTTATGAAAAATAGTGTGCACATCTGTCAAAACTGGATAATTTATTTAAATACAGGTTGTTGGGAATTAGCAAGACAATATTACACTAAACTAGTACTTACGGGCAGATGATGCTGTATTTCAGAAATATTAATTACACTTTCAATGCATGTTAACATTAAAATTAGGATTCACGTGGAGTGTAGAGCCACATTACTTGTACCCTTGTACTGTGATCCAGTGACTGATATAAGTAAATACACAAGATAAAAAAAAAACACAACAAAAACCAAACACCTACATGTATTGAAATGTAATTGCTACTTGTAAGAAGTATCTTGATCTGTCTCAGTTATCATTAGTTTCAGTGGCAAAATACTTCAATTCTGATTAACAGACTGCATCATTGTAGAAAACTACCCTTTTTTTGAGTGAGTTGCTTCTGTCTAAGTGTTTATGCTCTTAGCTCTTAATATTGCAGCTAGAACTGCTCCTATGCCCACATAGACCCCATAAGGATTTAGGGGTTCATGAGATTACTAGGAAAGAGTACTGAATGTTTCTGTCCTAAGAGAAGCCATATGGGAGAATAGGAGCCATGTGACTGCAGCTGATCATAGAGTTTCAAGTGTATTTGCAGGTAAGAAGAGCACTTAAGGAGCTTTAGGAAATCTCAGGTGTTGGTGATTAAGGGTTAAAGTGATAAACAAGCTGAGCTGGTGGTGTTCTCTGCATATGTAGTAACAGCCATGGATGTGGTAGCAGGAACTTGACAATTTTAGTAGTATACTGGAAGGCCCACCTTCATCTAGCCTGGTGCTAACATTTGTATTATTACTACTCATAAAACTTAAAATCTGTATCAGTGACAGAAAATACTAGTATAGCTCTGGGTGCAGAGGCCTGACTCCCTGAAGTCTTTGCTGGTATTAGCTGGGTGCTCAGGAGGGCACTTCTGCTTTTAGCTACAGTCATTACAGACAGATCTATTGGGAGAAAATACTAGCTGGAGCAAATTTCATTGAATAAAGCCAGCTGATCCCTTGGTCAGAATTAGCATAACCACAAAATCCTCTAGTGCCTCCTTGTCCTGTGTATGTGAAGGGAATAATACAAGGCTGTAAAACTAGTCCCCTCTTCTCTTAGAGCAGGCATTCTTGAATCACCTTTGCTTAGGGGAGGCAGGAACATGGTTTGTTTACTAACCAAAGTGGTGTTTTAGATCACTTTACTGCGTTCTCCTAGGTCTGTGAGCCTGTTTGTATCAGGGTCTCTGATTTCCTAAATTCAGATTCCTCTTTTTTTCCTCCAGTGAAATTGATTTCTTTTTTAAATGATTGATCCTTACCTTACAGCCTTGCCAGCTGCTGCCACATTTGTGTTTCAGTCAGAAGCACCTGATCGGCTGATTGGTGCTAGTCAGACGTGCAGTGTCAAAATTATCAAACTAAAAACCAGGGGCATTCTGTTAGGGTAACTGAACCAGGCCAGAGTGAAAGCAGTCTTTCTATTTAATTATTCCAATTGGCATATGCTATTTCTTTCTTTGCTTCCTTCTTTGGAATGGCCACACAGAAATGTGTATTACATCTTGGTAATGAGATGTTTAGGTTTGATAAATTTAGGCAAGGGGTAGTTGCATTTTCATATTTCAGATGGAAAATGGAGTGCCTAGCACGTATGTAAAGCATACATGCAAGCAAGATACATATGTAAACATCGTTGCAGTTCAAAGATTTGCTGGATCTCTATAAATTTACTATCTCAGAAGGTCTCTAATCCCACTTGCGTTCACTACAAGCCCAGTAATTCTTGCACCAATCACTGCAATGTGTTTATTGAGCATTAGACCTGGAGCCAAATTTAGCTCAGTTCTAAGTTTAACTAGAATTTTCTTAATGATTTCAGAATAAACTTGATTACTCAAACTTAGACCTTGTTAATTTGAATAATTTGGCTTAAACGTTAGAAAAACCACCCTTAGACTAAATCAACTTTTGTAAGTACTGCAAGCAGTTTACCTCAGTCTGTTCATAGTTCTTGTTTGAGCGTGTTGCTTTCCTACCGTGCACTGGTGCTGATAGCAGAAGGCCTGGCTGTGCAGCAAGCAGGGAAATATTGGAGTTTTGTTGAAGTCTGTGCCAAATGGAGTTGACCTTTACGGTTCAACAGATGTCCAACAAACACCTGCAGAGGACAAAAGATAAATGGAACTTTCCTTTTCAAGTACTTGCCAAAGCTACTTTAAAAAGTAACAGTTGTGTTGGTGTTACAGTTTTAATGATGCCAGAAAGCTGCAAAGAACCATAACATACTGAGGATGGCTGTATTTTCAGCTAGGAAAGATAACACATGGAACCCTTATTGGAGTTTTTACTTTCCTGTAACAATTGATCGAGTTATTGTTGCGCTTTCAGCACCTCTGCATAGTTGTGAAGGGTTTAATTTTACTTTGAAAACAAACTACAATGCTAGTAACACTTCGTCACTTTATCCTTTCAGTGTTTAATTCCTTTCTCTTAACACAGAGCCACGACGCACAGTGATTTAGTACTACGTGCAGTAAAATTGGGGATTCCATACAAGGTCATTCATAATGCTTCAATAATGAATGCAGTGGGCTGCTGTGGTTTACAGGTAACATTTTCATGTATATGCTATTCCACAACTATGAAACTTAGAATTGGTGAGGTCTTCTGCTGTAGCAGTGCATGTTGCAATCTGAAGTTTGAAGCTCTGTAGGAACTGTACAATTCTGTTGTCAGAATTTGTTTACACTTCCTTTTCAGCGTGCTATATGTCAGCAAAAGTCCCTTTTGATGAGCGCATGCATAAATTATTGTGTAAATAACACTTCTAGTCTTCTCTGCTCTCTAACTTGTCTGCCCCAGGACACTTTGAAATTTAAGTTCTTTTACAGATAAAGCTTTGCTCATGTTGGCTTCCTTCTACTACTGATGGTCACCTGAAAAGTTTATTCTTAAATTAGGTTGTTATCACATTGAGAAATATGCTGGTCTTGTCATAAAATAAATACATGCACAAGCCTGTCTATATGCCCAACTCAGATCATAACTAATTCCAAAGTCTTGTATATGATGCATTCTTTCTGTCTGAGGTTGACTGGTCTTCACTTTCTGCCCATCTGCCAAGAGAGGAGAGATTTGTCTAGCCAAGGATTAGAAGAACAAATGGTAATTTTTGTGCTTCTTGAATGGCTGAAGTAGGAAAAGTCTAGTGTCCCTGAAGAAAATACTTTGCTATTTTATTTTACACATGGATAGGTCCATTATTACTTGTCCTGCATTAAAAATGTTACGGCAGTGTATGTATCATCACTAATCACATATAAATTAGTTGAGGCTTCCCCCTCTTTTCTTCATTCATTACTTTAACATAGAACCTGCCTTCTCAAGGTTCAGAATGGTTCCCGGTTTATGGGAACCCATAAACCAAGCTCCCACTTTACCAAAACCAAAAGCAAGCACAGGAATTTAAGTGTACTACAGACAAGAGTTGAAGGTTTGAGCAGGAAACCTTTGAGGGAAGGAGGAAGCATTCCTTCCCAGCTTCACATAAAAGACAACCATTTTTTAAATTTCAATAAACAACTGATACCTTCAAATTTACACTGACAAACACCAATAGCCTTATTTCAACGCTGCCCAGCAGCTGAAAATTTGTTGCAATAAGTTGGGTATTATCTCTGGCTTTGATCATATCTGAATGGTTTAGAAATGAAAGAGCCCCGATCTGGCAGTTCAGCAGCACTGCATTGATGCCTATTCTGAGATGAATGCTAAGGCTAAAGGGAGTGCAGCCTGGTATTTGCATTCTTTATAATTCTTCCCGTGAGTCCTTTCTTAGTGATACCTGCCTATTGCTGTAAGACTTGGGCAAAATTATCTTTTAGGAAGGAAATGGGCTCCTTGGTGTCTAAAATCTACGTGTACAGCAGACAGATGGCAGCTGTCGCATGACTGCACTTGCTGGGGTGGGTAACACAAGAGTTGAGGCCCTTTCCCCTTCTGGCTTCATGGTGATGCAAAGTTGCTTCTGCTGTCAAGCTGTTGACAAGTAGTTTCTACTACTTGCTATCTTTTTACTGTTCTTTTACGTTCATTAGAAAGGAAGATGCAAGGCTCATATTCCCAAAGAGAACAGGGAACTAAGTTTTCTGAAAGTTTGCTTCCCTCACAACTCCAGTGAGGCATAGGAAAGAAGAGTATAGAGCTTCTAGGTTAATTGAAAAAAAGAGCAGAAAACTAAGTGGGAATATATTGCAAACAAGTTTTTCACATATGCAGCGTTTTGGAGATTAGTTTACTATTTCCTTATCCCATGCTGAAGGGAACAGACCACAAAGGAAATGTGATGTTATTCACTCATGCGTTAGTCCCCTTTTCCATTCTGGCTTGGGAGGGGCTGCCTTCTCATAAGTCAACATTCCTGTTGTTGTATAAAGCATTTTAGGAAATAGTGATCGTATTGTATTACTGGACAGACTATAACCAGCTATGTGTTTAACTCTTCATTGCTCCTTACAGGCATAAACAGCAAGTGAGGGGGGGTTGGAACTAGATGATCTTTAAGGTCCCTTCCAACCCAAACCATTCTATGATTCTATGATCTTACAGAAAAGCAGCCTGTGATTTAACTAGAGTTGTGGTGGGAGTTTGTGATTGCTTTCAACAGTCTTTACGTTCATGGCTGTCTCCTGCCATCAATTTAGTTTTGGAGTTATTGTTTCAAATTGCAAAGTTGCTGTCAAGTGTAGCAGGGATTCCTCTTTTGCCTCACCACAGAAAAGGCTTGGCTTTTTTTCTTGTTTTAATCTGATTGTGATACAAAACCTCTTTCTTTCTTACTAGAGAAAAACAGGAAACACCTTTAGATGCTGTTCTGAAAGCCATGTGCGTAGCGAGCTGTAACTGCTGATTAGGCTGTCCGTAAAATGCAGCTACAGCCCAGACTGTTCACAAAAGAACGTCTCTTGTTGTCAGAGCAATGTTTCTGTGCAGCCAACGATGTTTGGGTAGTTCTGCTGCTTTCCTGTACAATAGTGAGTTATTGAAGTCAGTAGAGCATTATGATGGCTTGTCACCTTCAATTCATAGCTCTATTTCTTGCCAAATTGTAAAGAAGGGTAAATATCTATTTTCAAATTACCTTTTTTTTTTTTTTACTGTCTTGCCTACTTAACAGGATCAGTGCAGCGGTTTTGAAGGCTGCACAGCTGAAGACTGTATTTTTATAAAGAACAGGATTTTTTAGTTTTGAAAATTTAACTTCTAGGAAGCTCTCAGATTGATACAATAGCTATTGGAAGTAGAGTATATAACTTAGCAAAGTACTAGTCTGACTGGGCATAAGGCACTATGGCTTGCTGTGGCTGTTTTACACTGTTATTGCTGTGCTTCACTCTGTCAGATTTTTTTTTCCAAGGCTGAAGAACATCTTTTCCCACAAAAACAAATGAGTATGGGGAGGGTGGGTAGAAACCAGAAAGAATGCCTGTGCGTGAGTGCCTCTTAGCATGTTCTTTGCAGGTTCACCTCTCTTATCTGGAACCTGACACGTGGGTATGTTGATCACTCTGACTCCTGTTACAGTGGGGAACAACCACCAGTGAAGAAAGTCATGCAGCTTGGTATCTATGCACACTGCCAGGGAGTGGGGACAGAAGTCCTTAGGGGAAGGCCAAAATTTTCAAAGAGCACTGCTAGTAGGTGGTAACTAGTGAGGCAGTTCAGCTTTCCTCAGCAGCAGCTGACTGTAGTTCTGTAGCTTTGGAAAGCTTAGTATTTTAGATAATGGGCTTACCTCTGTTCTACCACTGCCTAGCTACCCTGAGAGCAAGATGTTGCCTTGGCTCTGTATCTGACTAGGATTCAACATTGCAAGCTAAGAACAAAGGGAGAGCCTAGCCTGATTTCCATGGCTTTATCTGTACCCACACTCAGTTTTTCAGAATGGGGCTGATTGCTAAGGCTTTTAGCCCTAGAATAAAGAGACAGAAAACTCAGGGTCTCTAATTTACACCTTTTTCATTCCTTCCTAATCTGCATGACATCTTGGTTAGTTTGGGAAGGTTACTGGTCAGAGTGGTGCTCTCAGGACAGAATTCTGTCTGACCTGGTTCTGGTGATGTGTCTGAGGTAGCAGCATGGATGATCAAACACAAGGAAGAGTCTGCATCATACCAACAATGTGATGCATGTGAAAGACTGATGCAGCTTGAAATGGCTTGAGATAATGGCATTACTGGAAAAAAAAAAAAGAGGACTGAGAACTAAAGTGCAAAGCTGGAGGCAAGATATGGGATGAGACAAAAGGCTAAAATGAGCAAGTCATTTCTGGGAGAGTGCTGTTTTAAGTTTTGAAAGCATTAACTTTATATTTTGGTAGGGTAGCTAGGAAAAAAAGTTGTCATGGCAAAGACCTGCCTTTCTTTTGAGACATACCCACTTTTCACCTGAATAACTTCAGAACAAACATCTGCATGTCCCCTTGTTTCTTTCAGTGACTCATCTCAATTTTCTTTGTTTGCAGTCCAGTTAATTCTTGCAAGACAATTGCAGTTATGAAATAGTTTTGTCTTTTTGCTACTAGCTGATCACTTAAATGCAAAAGCAGTGCTTACTATATTATTTTTGAGTCTTTACTGAACAGGTGAGTAGATTTTCAGTGCAAAGTGAAAAAATACTATTTATAGATAAGGAAGCTGAAGGATGGTATCATTACTTGCTGTGCTTATAGTCAAATAGAAAACCAGTAGTAGCTGCAGGAGCGGAACCTCTGAGTTCCACCCTCTCTGTGCCCTAATCTTCAAAAATACTCTTTGCTCTAATAGGAGGGGTTCTATACAAAATGTTTTTTATTCACTGACAGTTAAAATAAACTGTTTTCCATCACTGGTTGGTTTTCTCACTTACTACCAGCTTCTGAGCCTTAAATCAGTGCTGGGCACACTACTTTGTTGCTCACAATTGCTGTTCAACTTAGTGCCATTTGTCACCAGCAAACATGACCCAGAATAGACTTTTTTCTCTATTTAGATAATCTTCATTTCAGATTAGTAACTCAAATGACCAAGGTGGGCAGGAATCATTGTTTGATATTGCTGGGAAGAGTCATAGTAGATTATTAAAGATAAACTGACATTACCTTGGAGGGAAAATCCTGTCCTGTTCAAGTTTGCTTGGAGTTCCCAAGTCTTTTGATAGCTGAATTTCCTAAGTGCTGATACAGGAGGCAGCCAAGAGAAAAAGGTGTTCTTCCCTTCACCTGCTTTTATGTGATTTGCCTCAGCTGCCTCCTGAAGACTGCAGTCATGTGGAGCAGGCTTCCCTCAGCTAAACATCCTTTTGTTCACAGTTCCTTTCTCTCTGGCAGGTGCTAAGGGGACTGGAGGGGTTTGGGACAGCTGAGCCAATGTGCTGGCTTGCAGTACGAAAAGGAGTCATAGCCCATGTGTGTGAATGGTAAAGACTTTAAGTTTCATGTGAAGCTTCTTATGAGAGGCATTCAGAGTTGCTAAAGGTCTGTGGTACTAAATAAGATAGTGTATAGGGCTAGAGCTATGCTTGTGGTTGTTTCACATGTCCAATTACAAGCAAAAATGAGGCTTGCCTGATTCTTGCTACCTCTTTGTTGATGATTGTCCTACTTCCTAAGCTGTTCTCTGACAATATATAATATAAAGAACAGTAGGAGCCCTTTACTCTGATGTATGAGGTCTGGAGGGTTGTTAACTCATTGTGGAGGATAAGGGGAAAAATCTGACTTGTCAGGTTGCTTTTTTGAGGATGAACGTTGCATAGCATCACATCAAAACTTTTATGACAAGGATAAACAAAACATGTCTTAGTTTTTCTGTGTATATTCATTGAGATTTATCAAGAAATAACCTGGGATAATGCAAGGTGCTCTACAGTCTCCAAATTCCATTGAGGAATAGCCTTAGGAGAAAAAGCCTCTTGGTGTCTGTCACTGGGATGTGATCAGGCCATGCAGTATCTTCATTTGTGGAACACACCTGTCCTGTGAAAACTATCTGTAGTGTAACCTGTGACCATCACAACAGAGAACATAGCTGAGTATTGTTTCAGTCCTACAGGGTTTACAGGTATTTGCATGTGTATATAGGTGCCAGGTCTGAAAAATGTAATGATAAGACTCCTTTTTACCTTCTTCCCCTGACATGTATCCAGTTCTGAAGCTGTTTGAAATTTTAGGAAAGGAGGTAGGCTCATAAGTGAAGAATTGCTTTGTCACCGTTGCAGCTGATACAGCAATAATTCTGGGAAAGATGCTGTAAAAATAAATGTCTGCATTTTGAAATATTTACTTCGTGGTTTCTCTGCAGCTGTTGCCCTACTGACTTTTAATATTATCTCGCATCTTCTCTCCTGCTTGCTTTAGTACTTTTCAGAGGGGATGGAGGATCTTCCTTTTTTAATTTCCCTGTTTAGTCTCAGCTTGTTCCTTCTTTTTATGCCCTGTATTTTTGTGGTGATTAGCTACACCAGTATTGTGAGGACCGTTGATCTGGACAGCTTCAGGTATCTGATGTCATTCAGACTGCCCATTAACAAAGTTGCTCAGTAGTTTCATTGAAATTTCACTTGCATGTAGGGTTTCCAAGCTGAGATCATGGTTCAGCACTTTTTCTCTCATAGTTTATTCTGTTCTCTCAGTTAGCAGTCCATTCTGTTTATATAAACAACAAGTAATATTATAAATATCATTAATAGAAGGGTTAAAAATACTAACTCAAAACAGGCTCCTCAGTACTAAAAGTTGTCAGCATTCTTTCATATTATGTTTGTAAATAAAATTGGAAGGTATAGCTTGTTCTGAGGTGATGAAAGTACGAGTTGAAGAACTGCTTTCTGCAATATTTTGTGAGAGGCAGAGAACTCGAGCAGACACAGCATTGCCTCGGAGTAGGTCTGGCTTCCTTTCCTGACTTCAGCTATTGCATTGCAAAATTTAAGTGCACAAAGCTTTGCTTAAGCCAGTTACTACTTGGACGGAGGGGTGGGGTATTTCCAAAGACTGAGGTCTTTCAAAATGACCTTTTGACATTTTTCTGTGAAGTTTTTGAGCATTAGGGAGAAGGTAAGAAGGTTAGTTTCCAAGCTGAGAGCCTGAAATGTCTGTCCAACCATTTCACTGAGTCCCTTTGAAATTCTGGCACTTTTGTGCCCGAGCAGAATGTAGGCACTCTTAACAAATCTGATGATTAGTGCAAGTGTGATGCTTGAGATGTTTTAGCTCATACAGAACAGATCTTGCCCACTCCTAAACCCCAGCTGCTCAATGTTGAGTGCAGCACACAGAAGACCACTGTGAAACTTCATTTGCTGTTGCCTCTCTCTAAAGCTGTACCAGCAATCGTACAGCACCATCGTTTCAGTGACAATATACAGAGCTCTTCATTGTCTTACTAAACTTAACAATCTCAAAGCATGACATTAATCCTTAGTTGTGTTGTAATACACCTTGATTAACAAACGTGTCAGTTTTACTCCAGCAACAAGCGTGATTTCTGGAATTTTGGTGCCCTTTCAGTTTTTTATTGTTGGTGGAAAGGATCTTTTTTAATTTCAGTGGGCTCTGGGTCTAGTGGACCTACTGTCCTCTGTAACTACTGAATCCTTAGGATAGTGGAATTTTTGGTATTTACTGCTCTCTCTGCAGCAAGGCTTTTCTTGAAAGTCTGATACTTCATGCTGGATTTCAAGAGGTAGAAATTAGAACACAGCACAGGAAACTGCATTAGGAACAAATTGAATCTGCACGAGGTACAGGGAGAGAGTTAAAATGTAATTGTGATACAGTTATGTGTTGCTTCTTTCATGCAGGCTTGCTCTGATGGAAGAGCAGTGCCTATGTTTGCATAAATGTCACACCTCCGCGGAGATCAAATGCTGGATGAGAACGAAATATTTGTTTGTGTCTGTAGAAGTGCTTGTAAGGTAATTGGTGACAAGTAGTCAAGCACAATAGGGGTATCCATTTATTGCTTCACTTTCACAGCATTCATAGATTGTTGGTGTACCAGAAAGTTTCCAAACTAGTATTTTCCCCTCTTTAATTTAAAGTAAAAATATGTATGCAGTAATGCTAGGAAATCTATTCTTTAGAAGTTTAGTTAGTAGAGGGGTATAAGTTGCAAAGGCATTTCTAGGAGGTTAATAAAATATGCCCCATTCCATCTTGTTGGTGTAGAAGCTCCTTCTGTGCTGTCCAGGTGCTGAGAAAACACGTGTATTTTATTGAGACTATAAGTACAGTTTTCTATGATATCAATACTTCATGAAGATATTCTGAATTTATTTCTACTGAATAGACAGGCTATTTCTGACAAAAATGTTTTGTTCTTTTTTTGACTCAGTTTTAATGCAAAACCTGGTAAACAAAGGACAGATTCAGTGAATCTGACTGGCAGTGCTTACACAAAAAGGATAACTTGCTTCTTGTTGGCAAAGACGATGGAAAATCTTTGTAATGATCAATGGAAAAGAGAAAAATAACAATCAGAACAAGTGCTGTAGGGTAAAAGGTTGAATGCCCAACTTGTTTTTAATATGTGGCAGAGAGGTTTAAAAGATCTGATTCCCAACAAAATACTTACCAGATAGTAACATTTTGCCCATTTCTGCATATCCTTTTCTTTGCTAAAAGGCAGAGATGGAAGTTTCTCTCTTTCAGGTTATCAAAATGCCAAAGGGACTGGGATAAGATTTGAGGTTAATTGAGGCCACTTTCTGTACTGAAGGAGGGCTGCTGCTCTTTGGGGAATGACTGCAGTGGCATTCAGGTGGCAGATGGTAAGTTAGTTAGGTTGGTACCAGACATTTCAGCAGTTGTCGATGTCTGAAGGTACACTACCAATGAGATTAAAGGTTAACTTGCTCCCAGGTGCTCCAACAGTGAAGGGGAGAAAGAGAAACTGCTTGTTCTAATAGTTTTTCTTCACATTTGATACAAAATGAGAGTTCTAGCTAGCCACATGAAAAACAGGCAAAACATAGCTTGTTGGGTTTTTTTTTTTCTTTTTCTAGAACACAGCCTTGAAATGGTTAAGAAGTTACATCAGGAGCAATTCATTTGGTTCAACCTATATTTAGTTTACTGGAAGAACCTTTAGGTTGTGAAATGTACGCTGTGTGTTCTTGTCCTTGTGCTAGAATGAAATATTTAAAAGAGGAAATGTTTTCAGTAATATTCCAGGAATCTTTGAAAAAACACTGTTTCTATCAGCACAAATGGTTAAAATCTTAGCTTTTGATCCCTTGAAAACAAATGTGTTTCTGCTTTGATTTAAATCCTGCTCTGGCAGTGTAAAGGAGTTGAAACCGCAACCTAATGCCACAGTAAAATAAGTACGTATAGGGGAATCCCCCAATGGCACAGAGCTGCCCCAGCCGCTTCTACACAGGGTCCTCTTCTCTGCTAGCAGCACACACTGTGCCTCCTGTCTTGGGCTTGGAAAAGCAGTTTTTGCTTCCAGGTTTACACAGAAAGTGGGGAGGTTAATCTGTGTAGTATCATTTCTCTGTTGGGCTTGAGCAGACAGAATACTGGCAAGCTGTAAAATCCACCTGGATGGCCCTGTTCCAGAGCTGAATTCGCCAAAATTGATGCATGGTTTTGCCCTTTTTCAAGTTGGTTACAAAAACTTCCAAGCCAAATGCTGCCTTAGGTTACGTAGGACTTTTGCATCAGATGTCTTCGCTGACATTAGGGACTTAGAGTAATAAATAGTGTTAAGATTGAGAATAAAATCAGTGAGTTATGTTTGACATAGAATCTGCTACCAATATTATTCTTACCATATGTGCGTAAAAAGCATTGCATGTCTCTGCTTCATGCATGCTCTGTCCCTGTCTTCAGATCTTCATACCCACTGTCTCTTTAGACTGTAACTTCTTTTGCATGATACAGCTTTCATCTGCAGGGAAGTGCTGTTTTAATACAGCACTTTAATACTGATACTCCCGTATCAGTAGAATCAAAACATTGTAAGTATTTTAGAAATTGCCTAGCCTCAACCAAAATAAGAAATAATAATTTTGGTGCTATTCTTACAAAATTTTTGCCTTTAAAAGGACTTTAGAATTAAGTAACAAAGAATAGAAAGTAGATTGAAAGTTAGTTATGCAGAAATAGGTGAAAACTTTACAGGTAGTTCATTAGTTGTTCTTTAACATGCTTTCCTGTTTGGAGCGTAAAAGAACAACAGCACATCTCTATTAGGAAGAAAAGCCAGCTCACTAATTACAAATTTTGTTAAAAAGAAAGGAGGGAATGCACTAGAGCTAATCAAGAGGGAGAGAAGCGCAGGGCAGCTTTTTTAAAAGGAAGCATTATTTTTAATGCAATGTTTTGTTATGTATCTATGAAAGAGCAAATTTTAGCATGTCATAGAAGAATACTCTCCCTGTGGTATGAACTCTTTCTTAGTGAGGCTCAAGACTTTTCAGTGTTGCCAATTGTTCACGGTTTTCATAGCATTTTATTGCATGCTCTGTTTTTTCCTTACTGTGTATGTGTGTTACTGCATTTGCTTTGTTTTACAGTTGTACAATTTTGGAGAGACAATTTCTATAGTTTTCTGGACAGACACATGGAAGCCAGAAAGCTTTTTTGACAAGATCGAGAAGAACAGGCAGAATGGAATGCACACACTGTGCTTACTCGGTAAGCACCAGCTACCTCGGTTCCTTAGCTACCATCTTCCACGGTGTCCAGAAGCCATAGTGATAGGCATGAAATTAAGTCTGTGATTAAACAAATGTTCTTAGCTAATGGGTACCTTTGAAAATATACCAAAAATTGGAATGCTAGTGTATGTGCACTTAGAGTCAGTTCAGCCATTGTTCATGCTACAGCAGCCAGGAATTTCTTAATTCCTTTTCAGAAAATCCATAAAAAAATGATGCCTTTGTAGAAGTCAAATAGGAGCAGGAGGCCCATATTTGCTCTAAAGATCAGCGTGATTTTAAGCTAGATCTAGGTCAGTGAACAACAGCTATCTTTTATTGACTTAATTAGGTTAGAGCTCAACACATTTGACTTTGTGGGGAGCTAAATTGTACATTTAGCCACGTTTCTGTTTTGTAAGGTGATAGTCTTTTTCCTAAATTACCTCATCTAAGGATGGTTTGGCACAAGGTGATTGTCACGTGAGACACTCCTTGCTGATCACGGAGCTGAAACAGAATAGTGCTCACCTGGCCCCTGCCCCTGGGCTCTCCCACAGTGCCAGCTGATCTTTGTCCTACCCAACAGTCCTCGGCTGAAAGCCGCTTTCTGAATAACGCTACTCATCGAGGTAACTCCTTAAGGATTGATGGAACTGCCTGCAAATAAGCTGTAAGGTGCCTGCTTGTTTGTATATATAGTTATATAACTCTCTGTATCATCTTTTAGACACAGCTGGTATCTCTCAGTGCTAAATAAATTAATATTTTAAGTAAAAACAAAGTCTGCGGTAACTGGAGGAATCCTGAGCAGGAAACAATTTAAATGTATAAGCATCACTGCACATCAAACTTTCCAATGCCTTGAAAGCTGTTTGTTTTCAAAATTGGCTAAAAATCAGAATTTTGGTAATTTGTTTTAAAGGAGGATGACTTCACATGTGTTTTAAACAAGGATTATTAAAACTATAGTATGTTAAAACAAAGTATTCTTTAGATATTTTGTATAATCATTTCTACGTTCTCCCTTTTTATTGTTTTACATATTCACGAGAGAGTAAAAATTTTGAAACCATAAAATTGAATTATAAATGTCATGTTTCAGGGACAGTTGTGGTACCTGTATCTGATTGTAGCTTACAGCTGAAAGCTACCAATTTCCAAGTTAATTGTTCCCTCAATACTACCTGGTTGTTCTGGTCTGTGTATTGATTGTTTACCCAGCTGGACTACATTACCAGATAAGCAAATGTGATATAAAAAGGTCAGTGCTGATAAACTTCTGAATTCAAAGCAACTTCACGGACATATAAGCAATTTAGTAAATTATGTACTAATAATCTTGTAGCTTTGCATTTTAAATCCCTTTCTTCAGAGTCACTTTGGTTTAAGAGTTGATCTTATAATTTAAACAATACCTTTTAATCAAGATTAAAAATGTATCCAGCTTTCACTATGATAATATTTTGGGGCATTTGAATACAGATAATATTTGATTCCCTCTTGGAAAGAGCATGGTCAACTGGAGCTTCATAAAATCGCAGATATGCAGAGTGTTACCTGCCCCCTTTTCATTTTTATTTTTGCCCAAATACTTTTTTTTTTTTTCTTTCTTCCCATAACAGAAGATATTGTTCTAAATTTTAACTTGGACAGGAAGGAAGCGCTAACAGAAGTCACGTTCCTGCATGGCAGTGATGCAATCACTGCCAATCGGTCATAATGTTTTACCTTTTGTGACCACGATGTACTTACAATTTAAGAGTAGTCCCAATAACCTGGTGTGTCTAAACACGCTAGTAGTTAGCTATCCTACGGTAAATATGCCTGCTATTTGTATACTTAGCAAAATTTTATTCATCTGTTGCTCTGAAATCTGCAAAACACCCCTATCTTTGGGTAAAATCACATGCATAAAATCACAATACTTCATGATTAATTAGCGTATGAAACAGTAGAATGTAATCCGTATTCCTTTTTCCTGTAATAGCTAAAATGTTGTTATAAAGTTTATAGAATCTGCTAATGAAATGAAGCTTTACCTACACAGACAGCTAACTGGGAAGTTCGTAGGGAACCTGCGTTTTAATATGTTTTGTTCTACAGATATTAAAGCGAAGGAGCAGTCTCTGGAGAATCTAATGAAGTGAGTCACCATTTTGAAAATATATCGAAATACGTGGTTTGTTTACAAAGGGATTTTTTTGTACAACAAACAAAGGTTCTTTGCCCATAGTCTAAGAGTGAACCTACCTGCCTTCTCAGTGGCCATAGTCTGTTGTTTCTTACAAGGAGTGGAACTTTTTTGTTCATTACAATAGGACCTGGCTTTATTTACAGTAACTGGATGAAGTTGCAGCAGAGTATAATCTCTTTTTTAACTGTTTCTGTGTGAAGTATTAAGTCAGAATTGGGTGAGCTTTCTGCTTGGCAAATGAAGTGTTCTGTTACTACTGTTCTGTCCTCTCCTGAAATGCAATAACAGCTGGAACAGTGTTCTGAATTCACACTGTTTCCAGCCTGTGTAAGGAAGAATGAAGTACTGAATACACACCACCTTTTTCAAACAGTTAAATAAGCAATGTATAGAAAATGCTCTTAGGTTCATTTAACTGTATTCAAAAAAAGCTCTTGCCACATCTTAATCACCTCTCTGTAATCTGTATGTTTTGACAGTGGCAAATATAAATGGTAACTTTATACACATGCTGTTAACTCTGGTCTAAATTAACATTTGTGGGGTCTCACAGTATCATTGAGGTTTGTTTTTTCTGGAATTTCAAAATAAAATCTGCTTGGCTGAATCCACAGTTGGCAAAGAAAGCAGCATTTCATTTAAGAATACATTTCTAGTCTGTAATCATCTGTCTACAGGGCATTTGACAGAAAAACAGTAGTTTGCCCTTGAATTTAAGTCTGATGCATCTTTCAGGAGTAGCTGCAAAACTGCATATTGCTTCCAGCAGCTGAATTTGCTCTTAGGACTCAAATGATCTGCCAGCTGGAGGGTCTGCTGTTTCACAGGTGTGGTGAGAGCACAAGAGACTTCTGTCTTCCTTAAAAATCGCACTCTTGTCTAAAAGACCCAGCCTGAGAGCCTGGGCCTCTAAGTTCAATTTGCTGGTCTAGAGGTTTCTTGAAATAAACTATAAGAATGCTAGGGCTAATGTAACATGTTTATGTTAAATTTCTCTCCTTTTTCTTTCCTTTCAGAGGAAGAAAGATTTATGAGCCACCCCGCTACATGAGTGTGAATCAAGCTGCAGAACAGCTTCTTGCCATTATTCAAAACAGGAGGCTCCAAGGAACAGAACCAGGTACTATTCCTGCACTGCTTCTGTCCACTACTACCACTCTCAAGTCACACCTACTGACGAGCCTCTGAACTCTACTCCCCTCCTCTTAATCTTAGCATTCCCTTGATCTGCAGCAGTGGCATTGGCCTGCCTTAAATCCTAGTCACGAGATGGATGTGGCAGAGCTCGATCACAGTGTAGTTCAGTGAGCACAGATAAACGAGCACTGGTGGCTCCTGGAGGCTTAGTCAAAGCCTGAGCGCGGTAACCCTGTACTGTTTCTGTCCATCTCTAACTGTAAGCTCTTTGATCCGTTAGAGTTGCAGGGGGTGGAAGGATTCTGAGCATTTTAGATCAGTCGAGCTTCAAAAATCTGCTACGTTTTATTTAGGCTGGTCACACTGGTTGATGTGAATACCCACATGAATCTAGGTTAACCCACGATGCAGAACTGCGATTTTGACCTTGAATTCTTCGCACTAGTCAAAAGAAAACTGTGAAAGATACTTACTGAGAACAAGGGTGAAATCACAGCAGCTATAAAGATGACTCAGTTATGTCACAGAAAAATTCTTTTTAATAGAAATTCATCTAGCTATATATTCCTCCTTTTAAAATTTATTCTTTAAATACTCTCAAAATGAAAATACTTTTGTTTTCTCCTTTCTATAGAATGAATCAGAAGCAGCAGTTTTCTCAAAGTGAACACAATTCCTGAAAGAATTTCATATTCTACTTCTGCTGCCTTCCCATTCTTGCTTATAAACATCCCCAAGATACAGCTTGATTTTCTCTGAAGAACAAGCTTCTTTCTAGGCCACTCCAGTGATTTATTAATTGGAGACTTCAGAAAGCAGCGTTAAGGTTTAAACATTTTGAGTACTTCTTCCTTGATGGTATGACTATTAGTCAATAAATTATTTAATCTTCTTTCTTACAGAAATTACTGAAAACACAATCTGTGTTGGCCTCGCACGTGTGGGCGCTCCAGATCAGAAGATTGCTTCAGGCACACTGTCTCAGATGTCCACAGTGGAATTAGGTGGTCCACTACACTCCCTGATTGTTACAGGCACTATGCATCCTCTGGAATTAGAGATGCTTCAGCTTTTTTCTGCAGATAGTTCCAGTTTTGAAAATAATGCATTTCAAAGAACCACTTAAATAAAAACTATGCATTTAAATTTTCATTCCGTCTTTAATTTCTTGACGGCATCAAGTTATTCCTGTGAATATTTAGAGCTTGCCTAAGTGCAGTTAGATGGTATATTGCTTCAGAAGACAACTCTGCAGGAACACAGACCTGCTTTTGCCTGAGGCTACAAACTGCAAGCTGCACCTGCTGGTATCAGCTTCTAACACACAGACACCTCCAGAAACCTTTAAACCTTAAAAATCCTCTGTCTGCTTCAGTTTATTAACACCTGCATCAGTCCTAGGCTGATGATGAGGGGAAGAAGTACAAGTAGAGAACTGAAGGAGGATACCAGATATCTGCCTGGCATCACGTTTGCTGTAGCACATTAACCAAGCCTACTTCATACATTGTTGTAAGTGCATTTTACACACTTAAGTTTGCTTTTCCGTTTTCCAGAAACTCCGTAGTTCTCTCACCAATAGAAACCATTAGTGTGCCAAACCTGTTAGGTCTGTATCCACCTTTACATGTGGGAGAGCAAATATAGACAGGTGAGAATGTTCTTTGTGTCCAAACCAAGAAAAATGAGAACTCAGCCTTTGGGCAGGTGGTGAAACAGAAGGAGAAGGTGTGCAGACTTACTTATTGCAGAAGGCTGCAACTTAAAATAGAATTGGATTTCTTCATATGTTAATGCTAGCATTTATGAAGTGCTGGGCTCAAACTGCAGCAACCACAATTGACCTTAAGTCCATTCTCAGAAAAGAGACTGTAAAAATTCTCTTTAAAATCAGCTAATGAATGCTGGGGTTGCTATTTCAGCTAGTCTTTACAGTATGTATGACAACAAATCAGACCTGTATGCTTGGTTTTTTTAAACTGAAAATTTATTGGAAAGAAATTTGATCCCATATCTTTTCAGCAATAGAGGACATTCAATATTTTATATAGATTGTATTCAAGTAAAAAAGATTATATTAAAAATTTCTAACATTGCACTTGGGACAAGTCATGGCTAAGCTACTAACATTAGCATTCCAGAACAAAATCATACACGGTCTTCAGAATTTTAGTGAGCTGCCCTGTGTTATTATTAAGACTTCTTTACAGTTATTTTGATATACTGTACTATTCAACTTCAGCTCACTGCTAAGAGTAATTCCTGTAATTTAAAGGTAAAGGCAAGCGATATGCTGAATGCAAGCAATATGCTGTGCACTACCAGGAATGATTTTGGCAATTTCTTCATTCACTGTTTCACACTTCAGCCAAAACACTGCAGCAATTCATTTAACTCTTGTACAAGATCCCAGCATACATGAAAGACTTCAGTGCACACAGGAAATGAAATACACAACTCCTTTTACACATTATTTCCGCCAAATTACCACATAGGCAGGAACCTTTTGTGGCTCACTGAAACAGACAAGCAGATTAACGAATATTTGCACACACTGAGACATGTAGTCCTCACACACCAGGCAGGGCAGAAGCCAAACTGGCACCTTTTCACATTATAGCAATCTGGCCAATGAAGTCCCAACACGGATGGGCACTGCAACGAAGCCCAAATGGGGAGAAATCCAAAAGGGAATCCCGGCAAGCTGCAGATAGGGATTTTCATAGAAGTGAAAAGTAGGAATTAACCATTGAGTCAGCATTAAGGATGAGAGAAATGGATTATTTAAAAAAAAAAAAATAAAAAAAAATCCCTCCATACTCATTCCCAAACATGCTTAAAAGGGGTGGGATAATCAGGAATCATAGCAAGTGGCAGTCTGATGGCTGCCGGGGAAAACAGAACAGGGCTTAGTTAGTAACTAAAGCTGTTGTTCTGAACTACTATTTAAAGATCTTGTTACATGAGTATTGATTAGAATATGCATTTTACAGAAGCATACGGGTTTCTGCAACTGATCTCTGCACTGTGAGAGAAAAGCCATGAACTTCACAGTTTGATTGCACAGTGGGTGCAAAGGGTGGAAAACTACAGTTCAGCAGGAGCTTCTCTTTATGTTCCCCAAACAGGTTCACTTATGACAGGAAAAAGGAGATACCCTCTCTTTCCTTCACCTTTAAACCTGGCTTTAGTTCTTCAGGAAAAAAAATAAAAAAAGAAGGTTAAGAGTCACCAAGGTCCATTTTATTAGTAGCAGCAGTTTCAATTTTTATGTAAAAATAGTATCAGCAGCTCTTCCTAATGATGCAATTAAACTTTCGTTTTAGTAAGCAGTATTACATAAAATGCAGAGTCATTTATTTGGACCAGCACTTTTTGCCCCAGTTCAGCAAACTGCACAAGTAATCTAGCTCTGTAGGGGCCCTACTGATGCAAGGAACAAGTCTATCCATATGTATAGACTTCCAGGATTAGCCTAGGAAGGACCAGTCTTTGCTTTGTGTACTACTAAGAATAAAAGTAGCTTTCTTCTACTCTTATTTACCATGACAAACATTTGGGGTATTTTAATACAGACACTCTGTAGCACTTGTTTTATCTTATTTTGCTGCAGGTCCTGTAAAAATCATGCAGTTTGCAAGCTTGGTCTTTGGGACAATATAGTTTTAAGTTACTGTTTTCAGTCACAGAAAAAAACCCCTAAAAGACAGACCAGTAACCCCACAGAAAGCTTCAGCTACATGAAAAGATGAGAAAAACCATATTTTTAAAACTTGGTTCAAAATTCAGTACTGGATACCACGAAGCAGAGTTTCAGCAGATGATCTGCAGACATTCATCCATCTCTGGATGTCAGTCATTCACACAAATCTTTGTTTAAATGATGCAACGCATCTCCAACAAAGTGTTAAAAGCGCAGTGTTATATAATAAGCTGAGTGTTAGGTAATTAGCAAAACACAAAATAGTGGAGTTTTGACTCTCAGGTTAAGAAAAGCTGTGCTTCCAATTGCATGATTGTACTCTCCTAAAACCTGAGCAAGTATCCCCCTCAGTGGGTGAAAAAAATACATCAGATGTCACACTGTTTACTGACATACTAGATGTGATTGTAGTTACTTACTGCATGTCATCTTCTCTTTTGTAGAATTTTATGTTGCTTGTATTTTTTCAGAAAGCCTAAAAAGGCATCATGCCTACCTTGAAGATTTGTAACTTCCCTATGCTATCCTCAATTATATTTAACAAACAAATGATACATTTCTTACTATAAAAACATCAAGTTGTCCTTAAAAACAGTGAAGAAAGCACTATCTTGGTTAGAAAACTCAGACTTGTACATATGCTTCCAGCAGTCAGATGAGTCCTCATAAGCAAAAGATGTCAAAAATTATTAAAATCAACATTGTATAACTATAACCAGCTTATAGGCTTTTTCACTCAAATTAAAAATTTTGTAGATGTACATCTTAAAAAACCCAAACAAACAACAAACGAAAAATAAACCACCCCGCAAACAACAAACCTACTCAACTGCCACTCAGGCAAATTCTCACTTGGAAACAGATTGTAGCAGTTGTCTCTTCATTAAGCAAATTAGAATAGTGGCCAAGCCCAGCATCTTGGGCAGCACTACATGATTCCAGCAAGTCCAGGAATACTCAGTCCCAAAACATGCTGGCATAAACATGCTATAAACCAAAGCCTGCTCTTGGATTGTGACACAATTGCAATGAAGTTGGCTGGTGCTTGCCTTTAAAGTGATATCAGTTGATCTTCTTTAGCCTCACAATAGTAATAATATTAACTATTAAAAAAAAATAATCAAGAAATCATGCTGTCAACCAACAAGCAGCAGTCTATATGCAACATACTACAAAACAGTATAAGGGATTTCCACCCTACGATTGCAACCATATTTTAATTACTTCTTCTGTGAACATATACGCAAATGGTATCTTAAACTGCAATACTCCAATCTGCTTAACAGATTCTTGCACCCTACCCTGCGCTGCGTAACTTTCAGATCCCATCCTCCAGTTGGGACTCCCGGACTGGCAGAGCCCCTGCAAGGTGAGGCGGGGAGTGCGCCTGACAGGGAGAGGTGTGGAACAGCACAGCCAGCTGAAAGGGCGCTCTGCCCCTGCATCCCCAGGAGAAGCGAACAGGATTGGAAAACAGCAATAGCAGGATCTGAAGACTGGAAGAGACTGTAAAGCTTAAAAGCAATAACTATGTGGCTTTTTACTGCTATTTCTCTTTGCAACCAGTTTTCAGTTCCAAGCACAAGAGTACAACCCCAAGCTTTGTACAAAATCAACATTCATGTTTCCATATCTCATCTGGAAAATTCAGGAACCACCTATCAATTTGGCAACCATCGTGTTTTCACATGAAAAGAGATCAAAATTCGGGTGCTATATAGGATTGACAGAATGAATGCAAGAAACTCTTCATCTCTATCATGACTTCAGCAACATCAGTGGCAAACAAGCAATTTCTGCAAATTAATCTTCGGTACTTTCATAGTGCCTAGCACTTACTACACAGACACTGCCAGCTTCAGAGGGTCTTGATTTCAGTATTACCACATATCAGGTACCAGAAGAATACGTAAAATCCACACCAGTCAGTAGCAGCTATGATTTATCAGAAAAATGCCTGTCTTGTTTTTTACTTCACAATGTTCTGTTTGTAAAGTGTCCTCTTATAAAAATCTTCCATTACTAAGGTAATTCCACTATGCTATAGTAGTTATCATCTGTAATACTAAGTATAGCACATTGTCTTTGAAAACAACGCTCAGATCAGTGTAAAATGATTATAAATGCTAGAAAAATATGACAGACTAATGTTTCTTGAAAAAGCAACTAACTGCAATGAGATTTTTTTTTTTCCATGGAAACACACAAGGCTACAGTAAGATAGTAAAAAATATCAGACTTGTCAACCTGGAAAAAGCATGATCTTAAGCAGCATGAACCATGGTCCTGATTTCCATTTCAGGTATAACCACCAGGAACAACTGTTTTCAGTATTTGGAAAAGCAGAAGTTATCTCACCAATCACTTTAATAAAAATTATTACAGCCTATTAAGATCAAGAAGATTTAAGCTTCACAAACAATTTAGGGATTTAATTTGTCCCACCA